TCAACTGTCAATCCATTCTCTGTATCTATGAGTCTGTTTCTGTTTTGTTTGTTTATTTTGTTCTTTAGATTTCACATATAAATGAGGTCATTGGTATTTGTCTTTCTCTGTCTGACTTATATCAATTAGCATAATACCCTCGAGGTCTTATCTTGGCTATTATAAATAATGCTGCAATGAACATAGGGGTGCACATATTTTTTAAATCTGTGTTTTGGGGGTTTTGGGATATGTTTCCAGAAGTGGAATTGCTGGGTTATAAGGCAATCCTATTTTTAGTTTTCTGAGGAACCTCCACACTGTTTTTCCTAGTGGTTGCACCAATCTGCATTCTGGCTTTTTTTTCCCCAAGGGAGCCAGGCATTAAACATTGACCAAGATACCATTGCCATAGAAAAAAAGAAAGACTCTCTATACATCTTTAATTTTCCAAATATTTTGAAACTAGAGGCCTGGTGCACGAAATTCATGCACTGGGGGGTGGGGTTCCCTCAGCCCAGCCTGCCCCTCTCACAGTCTGGAAGCCCTCAGTGGATGTCCTACTGATGGCCACAGTCTGGAAGCAGAGGCTTGGAGCAGGAGTCCCGTGTGTGTGTGTGTGTGTGTGTGTGTCCCCTGGGGGTCTGCCCCCAGCCACATTGGAGGCTCAGAGCAGGCACTGTGTTTGTGTGTGTGTGTGTCTGCTGGGGGCCTGCCCCCAGCCACACCATGGAGGCTTGGAGCAGGAGCCCCTCTGTGTTGATCTCTCAGGCTCCTGGCCTCCACTGTATGTTGTACTCTCCCTTGAGCTATGGCCAGGATAGGGACGCTGGTTGCAAGCCGGGCTTTCCTGCTTCCGGATTGCCACAGCGACCGGGGAGCAGGCCCAGCTTGGAGCTGCCCACAGGCCGGGCTTGCTTTTCTGCTCCAGGATCACCATGGCAACTGAGGAACAGGCAAAGTTTGGGGCTGCCCGCAGGCTGGGCTTGCTTTCCTGCTCCCAGATCAGGCACAGCTGGGGGCTGCCTACAGGCTGCACTTTTCTACTTACCTATGGCCGGATCACCACAGCGACCCAGGGCCCAGTGGCACTTTCGTGCTCTCCAATAGTCATAGGGTCCCGACTGGGGGTGGGGCTTAGCAGTGCGGGGTTTAGGCGGCACGGGGGTCCCAGCATCTGGAGCTTGTTTAGCTTCTATAATTGAAACAGTGTTTCTTAGAGTGTAGCTTAGAGCAGGCCAGCAGGCCAGGAACGTTGGCTTCCTCTGTCGCTGGAGCAAGCAAGCCTGTTCGCTTCAGCTGCGTGGCTGCCGGCTGCCATCTTGGTTGGCAGTTAATTTGCATATCCTGCTGATTAGCCAATGGGAAGGGTGTCGGGATTATGGTCAATTTGCATGTTTCTCTTTTATTAGATAGGATAGTCATCAATTTAATCCCTATGTCACATATGTTATCCATGTTTTGCATGTAACTCTTCCTGCTGTAGAGCTCTAAGTGTGAATAATTTTATTTGCCTGTAAGAAAACTATAAGAATGCATGAGAGAATGGGAGAGTTTGTATATTCATGTATTTTATAAACAGTCCTTTTAGTTTAATTTTTAAGATATTTATTGAATAACAAAATAATAAATAACAATTTAATAAGTGTGATTTAATTTTAGGACTTAGATAATAATGCAGGAAAAAGAGATTAACAACAAAGAGCAAGTTCCCAGCTCAATCTTTATCCACTGCCCTTTCACCCCATTCCACTAGACAGCTTCCATTTAATTCTGTGGGCAAAGACAGCCATGACACTGCACCTTCAAATGAACACTGGTGTACAACAATGGAAAAGAACTCCCCTAGAGTAGAAAATAGTATGTGCATCTCCATTTGAACTGCATGGGTTTTTTTACAGCTTCCTAACCTTGATCAAATGTTAATGAAATGCTTTTCAGCATGCTTTAATAGTCAGGATCCGCTCAATGAAAGTGGCACCGCTAAAAGGTCGTGTCCGGCTGTGTTATTCTCCCAGGATTGTGTGACCCCTGCTGCCCTCTCCATCAAAGGGAACAATGAGGATGAGTCTCCAGACGACTGCTTTGGCAAGTGTAAAGTGGGAGAATGGCAACGTTCCCCTTTCTGAAATGAAGGATGTTTGCACTTAAAAGTCTTTAAGAAGAAGAAGTATTGAGAGCAATTTCTGTAAAAACTTGAAATTAAATGTGTGGTTTTTCTCTATTGTGCTGCATCTGCTGTCTGTAGAATGAATCTTGTTGATGCCCGTTTCAAGGTTGCTATTCTTTGTGCTTTTAAACCAAGGTCAAGCGAGAGGCAGCTCAGAGGCCTTGAGGTTGTCATTGACAAGGAAAATAGAAGCTTTATAGCTGGAAAACTAATTAATCACTTCTAGAAAAATAGAAAAAGGAAATATATATATATATATATATATTCATAAAATTTCACATGTCAACCTAAAATTTACTTTGTGATGTTCTGCATGTAATTACAATGTATAAACAGACTTTAAGCACATTAAAATATATGCTCTGTAACTACATACATTTAAATAATCTATATTACAATAACAGTCCAAATTACTATAGTCAAGGCTGCCCTTCAAGAAGAATGAAATTTCAGAGTTAACTCTCTCAATTAAAACTTATTTGAATCTTTACTGCCAATATTTTACTGGATTCCAGTATCTCAAAAGTAACTTAAGACAAAGTATGCTATTGAAAGCATATTTATCTTTGCTTGCAAAATATAACGATGAACACGAGACGAATTCATACATGAAGCATTCCTCAAAATAAGTGTTTGAGAGAGGGGAGAAAATTGCAGCCGAATAGGCAGACCTGTCATGCACCTCATCCCAGGAACAGACTGGTAATACAACTAAATTGGAGAACATTCACCTGGAATTACCAACTGAGGTCCAGCTGAAGAGGAAACTGGTATCAAGGAAGGACAGAAAACACCTGGAGACAGGTAGGAAGGGTGAGGTTGTGAGAGGAACTGACCCAGCTTCCAGGGGTGGCAGGCCAAGAGAGGAGGGAGCGCTGAAGCACCAGAGCTGAGATCAGCGGGCCAGGTAACATCCAGCTGTGAAAGGCTGCAGAGTTGCTGGCCATAGCAGAGTCTGGAGCCGGTAGACTAGATCTGGTAGGAGAGAAAGCCACAGTTTCATTTGGGGGAGAGTTTTGTTTGTTTGTTTGTTTGGGAGCGGGTTAAATATATTTTTATAGATTCCAAAGAGGAAGTGAGAGGTATAGAGACACAGAAACATCAATGATGAGAGAGAATCATTGATTCTGGCCCCACACCTGTGATCGAGCCCACAGCCCGGGCATATGCCCTGACTGGGAATTGAACCATGACTAGTCATGCCAGCCGGGCTTGGTTTTTATTTTTTGTTTTTTAACCCAGAGCACAAGAATTTTCATATGCAGCTACTCACCCAAGGCTTTGGTACAGGGAGGGAGACGCAAACTCAAGGAGCCTAAGGAGAGGCTTGGGTAGAAAGCACTGTGGGGAGATGTGGCAAAGCAGCAGCCAGGAGTATTACATCATAGGTCACCAAACAGAAACAACCATTTTTTCTAAGAGGAGCTAGCCACTCCAAGGAGCTGCAGGGCAGGAAAAGAAAAAACAAAAAACGCCCTATGTAATACAGCCTGCCCCACCTTCAGGAGCCCTGCATGCCACACCTTGCATTTTGACTTTTTCAGAGGAAACATAAGCAGAAGCATAGCCTACGGGTTTGAACAGTCTCAGTTGCATCAATGACTGGATTCAGGGAGGGATCATCTGCCCCACTATACTGGGAACCAAACTGGCACTTCCCTGCATGGGAGAGCTGATAAAACTCCAGGTTTCCAGCACTGGTCTCCATACAAGGATATCTGTCCAGCCGAAGGCAGAGTAATATTTTGGGCCACTTGCAGAGGAGTAGACCTGGGACAGGAAAAAACTCCCACCACATTCCAAGCACTTCCCTCACCTAAAGTCCTTTCAGAAACTGACTTTTGAGCGATTAAAATTGACAACTGGCTAGCAGGCAAAGATGGGCAGAGGAGGAGCCCGGGAATAAGGGGAAGTTTGCTGACCCAGCCCTGGATCCCATGCTGCTAACAAAACTACATTAGAGGGCAGATTGGTCCCTTCTTCTTGCAGCCAAGGCCTGTGGGGACAGATACAAATGGTGGATTGGTGGATTGGTGGATTGCTTGGAGCTTCAAGCAGGTTGCTGAGAGCCAAAAGACAGTGCCTGGAATGGTTAGCACCTAAGTACCTCACAGGAAGCCCAGACTTGGCAGACAGAACAGAAGAGTAGGACCCAAAGGGAGCTCCCATGAGGCACTAAACTCTGCTAAAAGGAATGCCACTTCACTTTTCATTCCTCCTTTTTTATTCATTTTTCTTCAGTTTTGTTTTCATTTCTTTTTTCTCTTCCCTTTCTTTTTTTCCATTTTTAAACTTATCTTCTTCATCTATCTGCTTTATTGATTTGTTATTATTCTAGTCTCTGTTTCATTCAAATGCCTAATTTTCTTCTTCCCTTTTCCTATTCATTTTTTTCCTCTTTTTCACTACTCAATTTTTTTCTGTCTCTTTTCTTTCTCACTTTTCTTTATCTTTTATTTTCTAATCTTTTTTCCTTTTCAAAATTGTTTCTTCTTTGCTTTTCATCCTCCTTTATTTTAAACTGTTTTCCTTCCCCTATTACTCTAATTCTTTATTCTTATTTCCTTTATTTCAGCTCTGCATCTACGTAGTCCTTCCCCAACCATTTTTTCTTGATTTTTATTTGTGTTTTTGGTTTGTTTGTTTGTTTTTCTCCTTGTATTTTTTCTTCCTGTCTATCATTCTTGCTCTCTTTTCTCTTTCCTAATTCTCTCTTCTCTGGTGGCTGCTTTTGTTGGTGCTGTAGGAGTCTTGTGTATATTTTCCTTTTGTTTTATGTTTTGTTGTGTTGTATTTTATGTTGCTCAGTCAGCACCTCCACAACAGCCCACATGATGTGATTGGGGGTTAGCCACATAGTCAACCAGCCTGAGAGGAGGCTCCATCCATGAACAGGACAATAGCATTCAACACACAACTACAATAGGAGAACCCAAATAACTTAAGCAAGGGGCTTTCCTAGAGTACCCAGCTTAGGAGATCTAAGAGACTGCAGCACTGAGATAAAGCACTGTCAGGAGATGTGGCAAAGCAGCAGCCAGGAATATTACATCATAGGCCACCAAACAGAAACAACCATTTTTTCTAAGAGGGTCTAGCCACTCCAAGGAGCTGCAGGGCAGGAAAAGAAAAAACAAAAAATGCCCTATGTAATACAGCCTGCCCCATCCCACTCCTACTATATAAGACCACCCCACAGCGTCTGGGAGACATAGCAATTTGAACTAATACACAGAAACAAAAACAAAGCGACAGAAAAAATGGAGAGACAAAGAAATAACCCCCAAATGAGAGAAAAGGAGGGATCACCAGAAAAAGAACTAAGTGATGTGAAGACAAGCAATTTGTCAGATAAAAAATTCAGAGTAATGGTAATAAGGATGCTCAAACAATTCAGTGGGAACTACAAGCTACTTGATGAGATTATAAGTAACTTAATGAGAATTATAAGGGACTTAATGAGAACTACACAAACTTGAAAGGAAAGGTTGAAACATTAAATAAGAATCACTTGGAAATGAGGAGTGACATAGCTGAAATAAAGAACATCCTGGAAGGATTCAACAGTAGACTACAAGAAGCTGAGGACCTAATCAGTGAATTAGAAGACAAGGTAGAAAAAGACACCCATTTAGAGAAGCAAATGGGAAAAAATGAAAAGTAGTAGAGTCTAAGGAAGCTCTGAGACAACATGAAACATAACAACCTTCACATTATAGGTCTCCTAGAAGGAGAAGAAGCTGAGCAAGGATCAGAAAACCTGTTTGAAGAAATAATGCCAGAAAATTTCCCTGACTTGGGGAAGAAAAAAGTCACTCAAGTTCAGGAAACACAGAGTCCCAATCAAAATGAACCCCAAAAGACCTATACCTCCGCACATAATAAAAATAGCAAACCTTAAAGACAAAGAGAAAATCTTAAAGGATGCAAGAGAGAGACAGAAAGTTACCTACAAGGGAGCTCCCATTAGATGGTCAGCTGACTTCTCAATAGAAACACTTCAAGCCATAAGGGAATGGCATGTAGTATACAAAGTAATGAAAACCAATAAACTGAACCCAAAATTACTCTGCCTAACAAGGCTATCATTCAAAATTGAAGGTGAAATTAGGAGCTTGCTGACAAACAACAACAAAAAAAAGCTTAAGGAGTTGATTGCCACCAAACCAGCACTGCAAGAACTGCTAAAGAGACTGCTATTAGAAGAAATCGAAAAAGAAGAACACAGATATAAATAAGAATGGCAAAAAGGTACTTATGAATAATAACCTTAAATGTAAATGGCTTTAATGCTCCAATCAAAAGACACATGGTAGCTAAATGGATTAAAAAAAATATGACCCATATATATGCTATCTACTAGAGACCCGCCTCAGAACAAAGTGGTCACACAGAATGAAAATGAAGGGATAGAAAAAATTTCTAAGCAAGTGGAAATGAAAAAAAAATCTGGGGTAGCATTATTTATATCTGAAAAAATAGGCTTCAAGGTGAAAGCCATAATAGGAGATCTTGAAGGCAACCTCATAGTACTAAAGGGATCAATACAACAAGAGGATATAACTCTGGTAAACATATATGCACCCAATACAGTTGAATACAAATATATACAAAAACTTCTGGAGGATTTTAAGGGAGAGATTGACAGCAATACAATCATAGTAGGGGACTTTAACACCTCACTGACATCACTGGATAGGTCTTCTAGACAAAAAAAAATCAACAAGGAAATAGTGAACCTAAGTGACATACTAGATCAGATGGAATTGACACTCAGAACATTTCACCACAAAGCTACAAAATATACATTTTTCTCAAGTGCACATGGAACATTTTCAAAGATAGAACATATGATTAAAATTAGAAATAAAGCAAGAAGAAAAGGCCAGAGTAAGTAGAAGGAAGGAAATTATAAAGATCATAGTGGGGAAAAATGACATAGAGACCAAATAAAAAGCAATATAAAAAATCAATAAAACCAAGAACTGGTTCTTTAAAATAATAAACAAGATTGATGAACCTCTAGCCAGACTCACCAAGAAACAAAGAGAGAGGACCCAAATAAACAAAATCAGAAATGAAAGAGGTGAGTTAACAACTGACCACACAGAAATACAAAAGATCGTAAAAAAAATACAACAAACTGGACAACCTGCATGAAATGAACACTTTCCTAAATAAATGCAATCTTCCAAAACTGAATCAGGAAGAATCAGAAAAATCTGAATAGGCTGATAACTCCTGATGAAATTGAAGCAATAATCAAAAGACTTCCAGCAAACAAAAGCCATGGTCTGGAGAGCTTCAAAGGGGAGTTTTAGTAAATAATCAAAGAAGAACTAACACCCATCCTCCTGAAACTATTCAAAAAAAAAAATCATGAGGAAGGAACACTTCCGACCTCTTTTTATGAGGCCAGCATTACCCTAATTCCAAAAACAGATAACGACACTACAAAGAAAGAGAATTACAGGCCAATATCCCTGATGAACATGGATGGTAAAATCCTCAACCAAATATTAGCAAATCGGATCCAGCGATACATTTAAAAAAATCATACACCACGACCAAGTGGGATTTATTCCAGGGATGCAAGGCTGGTACAATATTTGCAAATCAATTAATGTGATACATCACATAAACAAACTGAGAGAGAAAAATCACATACTCAGGAGATTAAAAATGGTGGCAGAGTAGGAGGATGCTGCATGGCCATGCTCCCAGGAATAAACTGGAATTACAACTGAAATACAAGAAGGCTTCCTGAATAATCAACAGAAAACTCACAGGAGAGAACCCTGATACCCAAGGACTGAAGGTGGAACTGGCATAGAGACTGGTAGGAGGGGCAGAGACGTGATCCACAGAGGGAAACTGAAGTCCCAGAGAGTTTTCTCAGCTGGCGTTGGAGGGCGGCAGGGGCGGGGGGGAGGTGCCACTGAGAATTCTGGGATCTAGTCCCAGAGCTGGGCTCCCCAGCAGAGAGCGCCAAGCTGAGGAGGGTATCCACATAGCATCAAGCTGTGGAAAGCAGTGGGGTGCTGTCTGCCAGGGAGTGGCAGCTGAAAGTTCAGGCACCCTCTTAAAGGGCCAAAGCATAAACATTCCCTGTGGAGCCACCCACCTTGTGCTCTGGCAGAGGGAGAGCGAAGAGGACTGGAGCTGTGAGAGCAGAGGCCAGCACTGGGAACTCGGGGGATAGAGCTCAGAAGGCAGACACCCCAAGTTTCCTCGGCTTAGTCATTCCCTCACACAGCCACATAGACATCGGCCTTGCCTGGGGAGATAGACATCTGCCTTGCCTGGGGGGAAGACAGTTGGCACACCCTATTGGAAAACACCTTGCCCTGAGGCCTTAAGAAGATTAAAAGTAACAAATCGAAGGAGTAACAGCTGCTTGTGTAGCCCGCCCCCATTCAAGGAACAGCAGCCTCCTGATCACCACACCCTCTCTCTGAGAAACAGCAGCTGTGTGTGAAGCCTCCCCCCACCAGCCAGAGGAACCACCACAGCAGTGAACAGCACCCACCACAGGAGCTGCTGTCAACTGAGGGGCAGCTGCTACCACAACTGCCTGAGGAGCAACCTCAGCCCGAGGAGCCACTGAAAGACTCAACATCTAGATCTGTCCGTGAGATCAAACATGGGTAGACAAAGAAACCCCCAAAGGAAAGAAAAGGAGGACTCACCAGAAAAGCAGCTAAGTGAAACCGAGGCAGGAAGCATGACAAAAAAAGAATTCAGATTAAGAGTCCTAGAATGCAGGATGGAGGAAAAAATCAACAACTTATGCAAGAAGGAAGAAGAAACAGATGAAAAGGTCAATAAATTATGTAAGAACCAAGAAGAAATGAAGAGTGATATAGCTGCAATAAAAAACACCATTGAAAGTTTCAACAGTAGACTAGGAGAAGCGGAGGACCGAATTAGCGAATTAGAAGACAGGGAAACAAAACACACCCAAACTGAACTGCAATTGGAGAAAAAATTAAAAGACAGGAGGAGAGTCTAAGGGAGCTAAGGGACAACATGAAACAAAACAACATATGAATAATAGGGGTGCCAGATCAACAGAAAGAAGAACAAGGGTTAGAAAACCTATTTGAAGAAATATCAG